TTTTGTTTATTCATTATTCATCGTAAATCAATTCCAGCGTGCTGAGCGGCATGCGTGTGCATTTATAATTATTTGATAGCCCGAGAAATATTCATCAACGCATCGTTGCTCGAGAGAGAGAGCCATTAATTCAAAATTACTTAATTTGGCAGCACGAAGCCTACAAATATTCCAAATATATTCCAACCGATTTTCGGTATGGCTGCTCAATCAAGTGCCTGACAATTTCCAATTTACGAAGTTAGTTATGACTTCCCTTTCAACTATATTTTGACAGACGCATAATGGGGGTCTTGATTATATATGCATCCTTCTCGTCCTTTCACAAAAGAGCACTCAGGAGCTGAGCAGTCATCCATTTGTCAAATAATTCTCTCCAGCTATCCACTTGTCAGGCTGCATTGGATTTTGCTTATGACAAGTAATTCCATTTTGTTTCTTTACATTGTCATTAATTTCCCCCACCATTCAGTTGATATGAAATTCTACTTATCCCTCGCTCAGCACTTGAGATTCATCGGGCATTTTCAATTGTAATCTGCTGCTTTTTGTTTTTGGTTTAAAATTCTAGACTTGTTGCTGCTGCAATTTATGGACTACTTGACTTTTGAACAGAGCCTATCGGGGCTCAGTCAGGGTTCGTAAATAGTTTCCCATGTCAATTGAAGTTTCTCTATTTTTATTCAGCGATTAAATGAACAAATTTATTTTAAATTCATTTGTTTCATAGCACGTGTTCGTTGTTGTTGACAGCATTTCAAAATTATCTTATGGAGTTCGTAATTCATAATCGTATATCATTCGGCATGGAAAGGAAATTCAAAGACGCTCTATAAATTATGTCAAGTTGAAAGGAAAAGCTAATTGGATACACGATTTTCTAATGTGAACTTTAACAGGTAAAGCCAACAAAGCATTTTACATATGGTAAAATCAGATTCTGATGCGTGCTAGACGTTTTTCTGGAATGTTTCGGAATGCGATCCGGAAAAATGGCTCTGCTCAGAATCCCATAGAGACCGCTTCGACACCAACACAATCGAATCAGAGGCACCAACACAAAAGCATTTCAGAATGTTTGCTTGTGTGCGTGAGCCGAAGAGAATGCAAGAGAAAAGAGAGCGACTGCCAAACGAAAACATGCGATTGTATTTGTTCGATTGACAGCGACGCCATCTACAGCTCATCGTACCCTGTACAGCGCCAGGCCAACAACACCAGAGGTCGCTCTGCACGGGGGTGTGTGACCTGGCTACTGAACTGTGCTGAACTCCGATAGGACATCGAATTCTTACAGTTATATTATATTGCACATTTGTTGATCAGAACATTGCTTTTAATTATTTGCTGATTTTCTTAAGGTAGCTTTGAATTTTACTTTTAAGATTTTATTAAAACATATCGACAAAACTTTCTTTAAAATATATTCGACTGATCGCTTACCCATTATAATTCCGAAATATATTTATTAACAAGCTTTTTATTGCGTCGGAAATATTTAACTGTCATTGTAAAGCGAATCTGAAATCGTATATTACCTCTTCAAATAGGAACAAATGTATGTCTCATTCAGGAATACTAAATACTCGATATCAATCTAAAACAAGTAAAAAAAATTCTAGTCGAGACTGCTCGACTAGGAGATACCCTGAACCCTCCAATCTGATATTCTA